ATCTAAATCCGCCATTACGTACCTGATTATAGAAGACTTGCGGTTGATGAATAATCCAACACTTGCGTGATTTCGGCTCAGAGCAAATTTTTACTGCGTAAGTTTTTCCCCCCCCCCCACATACCTATTTATAGGCGCTCCGCGGGAACACCCCAAAAGCCACACCCCTCTGCATATCGTTGGATCTCTGTAATCCAAGGGTTCACAACGCGCGGCCCTTCGCATGCGTCATTAATACCCAACGGTCGCAACCTTTAGTATTCCCCCAACGGACAACCCTTCGCCTTCCACCAATGGCCATAACTCCTCGCGTAATTAATACTCAACTGGTGCAAACCTTCGTTTCCCGCCAACGCTTGACCTCATTTTCAAGACCGCCACCAAGACAATTTTACCCTTTGCGTTGTTCCACTCTTCAAGGCTGGGGGGCTTGTGTACCGGGAGGATCCTATCGGTCACGTGAACCAACACGTGCCGTCCCATCAGACACCCACGCGGTGTTATGCCCAAAAGTCTTGACACCAGTATCGGCTCGGGCTATAACCGAAGGCCGAAGTGAGCCTCATAATACAATCGGCTCGGCTTGAGACCGATACGAATAGAACCGTAGACATCTTTGCAGGCCATGGACCGGCTCGGACAAGCCTCGAACAGGCAGTTCAGCACAGCAAACTAGTAACGGCACGGTCTAAGGCCGAGCCGAATGAAGAGGCAACAATTAGAGCCCTCATCGTGGTTAATAAGGATAAGTGCGTGATTAAGGCATAATTAGCCTATTAGCATCGTATTACCTAATTTGGTAAATTTCAGGAGAGGCTCACTACTGACAAGGCCCATCACTGGTAGTATAAATAGGTTACTTTTGTCAAGGTATGTCACTGTTCATTAATTATCCTAGAATATCGTGCTTATCCTGACTTGAGCGTTAGAGTGCCTTTTGCAGGTACCTTCCCCTCGCGCAGAAGAGTTCACTTGAAGACCCTCGTTCGGCCCCTTCCCACTGAAGAGTACGAGTGTGCCCTTAGACAGGTACATTGACCATATCATCCAAAAACAGTTTTTAATGTATAATTCTTGTCCCTAAAGTTTCTCTTATGTTGACATATATAATCCGAAAACAGTTTTTAATGTATAATTCTTGTCCCTAAAGTTTCTCTTATGTTGACAATATATCATCCGAGTAGGAAAAAAGGTTCCGCAGGTTTGGTGCGCTACTGAAAGGTGTTTGTTTCTGAGTTAGGAAATTGAAGTGTCAATTGAAGTGTGTGCTTAGTGTAATCATGTCAAAACAACCTACAACATGAAAAAGAAGTTTAATTTTACTTGAAAATCAAATCTACTTAGAATAGAAGAAATACATGCATGCGTGACTAGTTAATTGTTTAAACTAAAGCTTAAATGCATATGTAGAAGGAAGAAGAAAATAATAAGAAAAAAGGATGAAGTTTGAGTCATGCATGTGATTGCACAAGAAACACGAGAATCTTTATTTGAAGATACTTACGGTTTCTAGCTAGAGAGACATGAAAGAGAGATATACAATGTTGTAGATTTGAAGGTGAGAGAAGGAAAAGACTGTGTGAAGACTTTTTATGCATGGAAACTATGAGAACTGACTCTATCTTCTTGCTCCTTTGTAGGTTGCGATAATTTAGGGGAAGTTATTGCTGGCAGTTACCTTTTTTTAATTAATTTTTCTTTCTTCTTTTCTACATTTCCCTGGTATATTTATAATTAACATTAACATATATGATTTTTCTTCTCACGTGAAGAAGAAAAATACTACTAATTATTTCAATCCTCGTTTTTATTTTGCTACCTTAATGCCAGTTTGGACGTCTTGACATTTTAGGGGGTTTCTAAATAGTTACTTAATTACTAGGATTTTACATCTAATATTTGAAAACGATAAACTTTAAGTTATGAACTTTTTAAAAATATAACATGTTTAAGTGAAAGTAAAGAATGTTAATTATGTAAAAGAAAGTATTTAATTTCTAATATAATGATAATTTGAATAAGTTCCGCATTGAATTAAATAAAAAAAATGTGTTTATGAGCCAATAATAACAATAATAACAAAATTTTTAATCAAAAACTAGTTATAAATAATAATTCATATTTTTGTTTTATTTTTGAAAATATTTAAAACATGAATTATTCTGAAATTAAAAATAAAATACACAAATAAATAAATAACAATAAGACATAATTAAGATTAGTCAATTGATATCCTAAAAAAACATGAAATTAACATATATAATAACACGAAAATTGTCAAGTTGAATCAGAAAAAAAAACACTTACAGAAAATTTTCGTGATATAAACATATATGAATCAATCATTTATTATGGATATAATTATTTTGTTTTCTTACTTGTCTTATTTTTACATAAATATGGAGTAAGTGTTCTACATGTTATATATATAAAATAAAAATTCAGATGTTTCATCTTATAGGAGATATAGAAATTTATAATGATTAATTAATCTCGATTTCATTCCTTTGAATTGTATAGCGTGTTTATATGTAAATTGGAAAAAAAAAACTAAATACACCAGTCTTCTAAATAAGTAATTCAAATAAAAAAATAATTATATAATTCATAGATGGTATATATAACATTCAATAGTTATTCTAAACAATGTAGCATTTGTATAAATTAGATGTGTACTTTTTTTTCATTACTTTTCAACTTTAAGTTAAAAAGTAAAAATAATTATAGTTTGAATAAATTACATGTTTATAATATGTTAGTAATTAAAGTACAAGTATAGATAACTTTAATTTTAAAAATTACAAAAAAAAACATTAATTTTTAAAATTAGATTTGTATTCTAAGCAATGTAGAATTTGTCAATAAAATTATATTTGTATTTTTTTCATTATTTTTTGACTTTATGTAAAAAGGTAAAAATAATTATAGTTTGAATAAATTAAATGTTTTTAATATGTTATCAATTGAATTACAAGTATAGATAACTTTAATTTTTAAAATTACAAAAAAAAACATTAATTTTTAAAATTATTGAATATTTATTTTTTTGAAAACTAAATGATTGTCAATCATGTTAAGAATTCAAATATATATATATATATATATATATATATTTTATAAATAATAATAATTTTAATTTAAAAATTAAATTAATTGACACCCTTAATTTTAGAGATTAAATGTGCTACAAATAAATTTTATTTGTAATCAAACCTAAGTATGAATAAGGCTCTTCTTTATTATTAAAATATATTCGATGAGACTCATATCTATTGTAACTAAATGACTATACAGGCTAATATTTTGGTGCATTGGGTGAGACAAGGTGGAATTGCTCTAAACTCTATAGACGGGTCACATACATTCTAAAATACATGGGAAAATGCTGATATGATGAAATGCTAATTTTCTGATTTACAACATGATAAGCATGATGTGTTGTCATACAATTTTATAATGAGGGTCTCACAATCATAATATACACTTTTATATTGGTTTTTGTTTATAAATATTCCTTTTAATTTTTATTTATTTATTATAAACTATAAAATTACAATGACTAAGTTATGTTAGATAACAAATTCACTAGTGACATGCATACAAATTAGAATGTTGTCCCATAAAATGTCTAAACTAATTTTATAAGTAGCTAAAATAAAATAAAAGGAAGTAAAATCAAGAAATATTGAAAGAAAAAAAAAGTAGATATAATTACTTGTGAAGAAGTTAAAAAAAAAATAGTTTTTAATGTGTATTTCTTGTGCTCAAAGTTTCTGTTATGTTGCTCGTCTTAACTTCTAATCGTTTCCTTAAATCTCTCTCATTATCTTTCTTTTAGTAAGCCATTTTCCAATATTTAATAATAGGTCGGAAAAGCAATATATGTGTAACAACAAAGAAAAAACACAAAACCCTAAAAAGTAAACACAAATATTGACAAAACTAATGAACCGGTAAATCATATTACTTAAGACTAACTATAAACTCGTTTACCAGAACTTCATATGAGCTTTTTTTTTATTAGTTTTTAACTTTTAAACTATTGGATTTTTCTATACCCACTATTTTTTTTTTGAATTTTTTTACTTCAAATAACTAAATATATTCTTTTATATTACTTTTATCAACTTCTTATTAATTAATGTTATGAAAGACTTAATTCAATTGTAATAGGTTTAGAAGGTAGCTTTTAACGTGCATATATGTTAATTTTACGAAAACACATCCAACATCTTATAGTTAAGGAACTAGGTTTTAGTGATGTCGTGAATAAAACTCAATATTCTTTGAAACAAAAATGTCTAGCACTAGTGTTTACTTAATTATGTGCTTATTTGTAAGACCTTCAACAATGGAAGAAATAAAGAGATACAATTTATTTATTCTGATTATAATGTTTAGCACATATATATATTCTGCTGTATACTTCGCATATATTATTCAAGCCACGACTAACTAATTTGAATGGAGTTTACTTGGCAAATAATTAAACTTGATATTTCTTAAGTATAAAGTCATTGATAATCAAAATATCGGGAAAAGAGAAACTATTATAGACTGTGGAATAGAGTTTTGGATGCACATTATCCCATTACAATGGTATATTCCTTGGACCAAATTGTTAAGCAAATAATAACCCTTTGCTATTATTTGTTGTTTCAAAGTGAAGAGTGCAGATAACATTAATAATCTTAATTCTAGTGAAGAGTGCATAAAACTTTATTTGATACTATGAGTGATCCTTGAAAGACTATTCCATTTCACAAAAAAAATTCAAATAAAACACTTGTTCTTCATACATGCAAAATGAATCTAATCTGAATCTAATCTAATCTTATCTAAACTTGACTCCTCGTATATGCAACATGCAAAATAAACTTCCAATTGGGTGATATTTACAGAATAATCACAAAATAGAAAAAAAAAATAATGCATGAAAAAATGCAAACAACGATAGATCATGAATAGTTAATAAAGATTTGTTATTCTTGCTTTGCTTTCTACTCAATGTCTGTCCCAATAAGCTGTTTAAGATCCAAATCCTCAACGATGTTAGGTCTTGATTGAACATCATCATAATTTGTCAAAGTGGTGACAATTTCTTTTGGAGCAAAACACATTTTCTCAGTGTACAACTTCTCTTGAACCAAGGGAGAAACAATCAGATTGTGTAGAATTTCAGAAGGAGGTGCTGCTTTATCTTCCTACCACAATGACCAAAATATAAGAATTGGGTTTGAGCTTAATTAAAAGCAAAAGAATCGAAGATGAAAAATGAAAAGCATTCAGTTGATCATTTTTCTAGGTAAACTTTTGGAGTAAGTTACTAACTTCAGTTTAAGGGTGGTAAATCATGCGATGATCCGTCTTTAATTCTTCTCAATGTTGTCCAATAAAATGCAGTTTATAACCAAAATAAAACATGCAAAAAGAAAAACGACTGGAAAATTCCATGCAAAGCAGTTACATGACAAACTAAGGTTTTAAGGTTTTAATGTATATTTCTTGCTCCTATTGTCTCTCTTATATATGTTTAATCATATCCTCCTCTTACAACTTTTTCCTCAAATCTCTCTCTAATAAAGTATGAGAGCATATTTTGATATAATAGATTAATAAAGTACACACAACTAACCAATGTCAATTAGCAATTTCAACTCTTATTTTTAGTAAACCTTAATTCCAAATCATCCGTAATTACATTGTAATTACGTCTGATCACACTGTCACAGCAGCGTATCAAACAACCACAGGATATAAAGTTAATGTTATTAAACATGATTTGTAACTCAATCAAAAAACAACAAATTAAAAGTTACCTCGAATGAGATCATGAGTTCAAGCATTCCAACTTGTGCTTGAAGGTACTTAACATACTTTGCAGCTGCGTGAAGCATCTCGGCTGTGTTCATCTTTGCACTTAACATAAAAAAGTGAATACTGTTGGCGTTTTGGACATGAGAGAAGATTGTGATCTTCATGAGTTGGAAAAATGTCATGATAGGTGAATGGAACGAAAGGATCATAAGGAGGGTAAACCTCAGATGGGTAAAGAAAGTGACTGGGGTCATCCGAGTAGGGAAAAAGGTTCTGCAGGTTTGGTGCTGCTACTTCTTCATGAAAGGTGTTTGTTTCTGAGTTGGGAAATTCAAGAGTGTGCCAGTTGAAGGGTGTGCTTAGTGTCATCATGTCAAAACAACCTACAACATGAAAAAGAAATTTAATTTTAGTTGAAAACTAAACCTACTTGGAATAGAAGAAATACATGCATGCCTGGCTAATTGAATTAATTGTTAAAACTAAAGCTCAAATGCATATGTAGAAGAAGAAAGAAGAAAATAAAAAGAGACAAGGTATGAAGTTTTGAGTCATGCATGTGCATGCAAAAGAGACATGAGAATCTTTGTTTAAAGATACTTACTTACGGGCTTCTAGCTAGAGAGACATGAAAGAGAGATATACGATGTTGTAGATGTGAGAGTGAGAGAACGGAAAGACTGTGTGAAGACTTTTATGCACGGAAGCTATGAGAACTGACTTTATCTTCTTGCTCCTTCGTGGGTTGCGATAATTCAGGGGAAGTTACTTATTACTGGCAGTGGCAGGTACCTTTTTTTAATTACTTTTTCTTTTTCCGGGTGTATTTATAATTAACATTAACATATGATTTTTCTTCTGCTCGTAAGTGATCTAAGCGATTGAGAGAAAAGAAAAATATCACTAATTATTTCAACCCTCGTTCTTATTTTGCTACATTAATGACAGTGCTTATTGGCCCTGACATTTCAAGGGTTTCTGAGTAATTACTTAATTACTAGAGTTTTAAATCCTCTACATGTGGTATTGAAAACGCTTAAACTTTAAGTTATGAACTTTTTAAAAATATAGCATGAATGTTAATTATGTAAAAGAAATTATTTAATTTGTAATATAATGGTAATTTGAATAAGTTCTACTATAAGTTCTAAGACGTGAATTGAATTAAATAAAAAATATTTGTGAGCCAATAATAATAATAATAAATAATGTTTGTAGAAGATGAAAAATTTAAAGTGTTGATTTGATTAATTTCTATTTCTATTACACTAATGGAATACCTACTAATTTTATTTGGTCAAAACAGGATAGTCTTTTTTATTTATTTTCATATATATTTTTAAAAAAATATTGGTTGCATTATGTCAAATGGAATCAATATCCATTGCAAAGGTCACATCCCAATTGTCACGGACTGTACAATTTTGAGTGAGGTTTTTAAGCATTTATATTAACTAGAAAAAAAAAAAGGAAAAAAAAACGTCATCAATACCCACCTCAAGCATTACCAAGTTATCCAATAGAATGTAGAAATTAATTTTAAAAGTAAAATAAAACAATATAAAAACAGGAAAATTTCATGCAAATCAACTACACAACAACACTCATTTTTTAATGTATGATTCTTGTTCTCGAAGTTTCTCATGCATGTTAACCATATAATCTCATCTTGTTAACCGTTTCTTTAATCAAATGTGTATGAGAAAAGTACTCAAACATTGATACATCTGGCAAGGTACTAGCCTACCAGGTTATAGTTAGTGTCTGTGTGGTGAATACAAATTTAATATTATATTTTTAGTAAATTTAATATTAATTAGTCTGCACTACTTTTTGTGCCTCTCTTCTGAAATCTTCACTAATATAACGGTATGACAGCATTACTTAAAGTTGGCTTGACTATGTAAAATAAAAATAAAAATAAAAATAAAAATAATTTAGTTTGAGTATGTATAAAATACACTTGTAAATGTAACTAATTAAAGACTATATAACGCAAATAATATCAAATTTGTTTTGAAAAATAATACTAATGTTTGATTTTTTTAATAGGGTTGAGTTGACATTTGTATTGAGATGAAAATGATATATTAATACTATATAAACTTATTTTTAAGATAAATGATCTTAAACATAAATAATTTTAATTACATTTATATTCTTGTAAAATTCGTTAAACTTTAGCCTAAACTGCCATGTATTGTTTCATAAATTTTAATTTTATTTTAATCAATGAAAAATATAAATTTATTTACAATCAACTTTACACAAATTTTAAAGGCGAACTTAAATATTAATAAATATATATAAATATGTCACGAAAGTATGATTTTTATCAAAATTCAAACTTTATAATATAATTATATTGAAAGTATTTTTTTTATATACTTTGTAATGTTAAGCCACATATTCTTACTTATAATTCACATATATGATTTTAATTTGTGTAAAAATAACCGCTAATTCAAATTAAAAAATACTTATAAAACTATACAGTTTTGCAAGCACCACACTGTATTGGAGTTATTTTGTGAGATTTTATAATAAAATACTCCTCAGAATGGAGTGGGAAAGAAAAGAAAAAAAATATTAAAATAAAAAAAATGCTTATAATTCATTCTAAGTAACTGCCTGCAACTTCTCCTGAATTATCTCAACCCACAAAGGAGTAAGAGAGGATAGAGTCAGTTTTCGTAGCTTCCATATTTCCATACATAAAAGTCTTTGCACTGTCTTTTTCTTTTTCTCACCCTCAAAATTCTTGTAAAATTCTTTAAACTTTAGCCTAAACTGCCATGTATTGTTTCATAAATTTTAATTTTATTTTAATCAATGAAAAATATAAATTTATTTACAATCAACTTTACACAAATTTTAAAGGCGAACTTAAATATTAATAAATATATATAAATATGTCACGAAAGTATGATTTTTATCAAAATTCAAACTTTATAATATAATTATATTGAAAGTATTTTTTTTATATACTTTGTAATGTTAAGCCACATATTCTTACTTATAATTCACATATATGATTTTAATTTGTGTAAAAATAACCGCTAATTCAAATTAAAAAATACTTATAAAACTATACAGTTTTGCAAGCACCACACTGTATTGGAGTTATTTTGTGAGATTTTATAATAAAATACTCCTCAGAATGGAGTGGGAAAGAAAAGAAAAAAAATATTAAAATAAAAAAAATGCTTATAATTCATTCTAAGTAACTGCCTGCAACTTCTCCTGAATTATCTCAACCCACAAAGGAGTAAGAGAGGATAGAGTCAGTTTTCGTAGCTTCCATATTTCCATACATAAAAGTCTTTGCACTGTCTTTTTCTTTTTCTCACCCTCAAATTACAACATCCTATGTTTCTCCAAGGTATCTCTCAAAGATACTCTAGCTAGATATTAAGGCGTGAATTGAATTAAATAAAAAAAATGTGTTTCTGAGCCAATAATAATAATAACAAAATTTTTAATCAAAAACTAGTTATAAATAATAATTCATATTTTTGTTTTATTTTTGAAAATATTTAAAATATGATGAAGTATTCCAAAATTAAAAATAAAGTACACGAATAAATAAATAATAATAAAACATAATTAAGATTAGTCAACTAATATCCTTAAAAAAACATAAAATTAACATATATAATAACATGAAAATTGTCAAGTTGAATCAGAAGAAAAAAAACTTATAGAAAACTTTCGCGGTATAAGCATATATGAATCAATCATTTATTATGGATATAATTATTTGGTTTTCTTACTTGTCTTATTTTTACATAGATATGGAGTAAGTGTTTTACATGTTAGATATAAAAAAATAAAATAAATAAAAAAGTTCAGATGTTTCATCTTATAAGGGATGTAGAAATTTATAATGATTAATCTCGATTTCATTCCTTTAAATTGTATAGCGTGTTTATATGTAAATTGAAAAATAAATAAATAAATAAATATACCAGTCTTTTAAATAAGTAATTGAAATAAAAAAAAATAATTATATAGTTGATAGAAGGTATATTATAACATTCAATAGTTATTCTAAACAATGTAAGATTTTCAGTAAATTAGATGTGTAGTTTTTTTCATTACATGTCAACTTTAAGTAAAAAAGTAAAAATAATTATAGTTTGAATAAATTACATGTTTATAATATTTTTGTAATTAAAGTACAAGTATAGATAACTTTAATTTTTAAAATTACAAAAAAAAAATTAATTTTTAAAATTAGATTTGTATTCTAAGCAATGTAGAATTTTTCAATAAAATTATATTTGTATTTTTTTCATTATTTTTTGACTTTTGTAAAAAGGTAAAAATAATTATAGTTTGAATAAAGTAAATGTTTTTTAATATGTTATCAATTAAATTACAAGTATAGATAACTTTAATTTTTAAAATTACAAAAAAAACATTAATTTTTAAAATTATTGAATATTTATTTTTTTAAAAACTAAATGATTGTCGATCATGTTAAGAATTTAAATTTATTTATTTATTTATTTTATAAATAATAATAATTTTAATTTAAAAATTAAATTGATTGACACCCTTAATTTTAGAGATTAAATGTGTTACAAATAAATTTTATTTGTAATCAAACCTTAGTATGAATAAGGCCTTTCTTTATTATTATAATATATTCGATGAGACTCATATCTATTAATGTAACTAAATGACGATCCATGCTAACATTTTGGTGCATTGGGTGAGACAAGGTGGAAGTGCTCTAAACTTTATAGACGGGTCACATATATTCTAAAACACAGGAAAATGTTGATATGGTGAAATGCTAATTTCCTGATTTACAACATGATTAGCATGAGGTGTTGTAATACAATTTTGTAATGAGGGTCTCACAATCATAATATACACTTTTATATTGGTTTTTGTTTATAAATATTCCTTTTAATTTTATTTATTTATTATAAACTATAAAATTACAATGACTAAGTTATGTTACATAACAAATTCACTAGTGACATGCATACAAATTAGAATGTGTCCCATAAAATGTCTAAACTAATTTTATAACTAGCTAAAATAAAATAAAAGGAAGTAAAATCAAGAAATATTGAAAGAAAGAAAAAAGTAGATATAATTACTTGTGAAAAAGTAAAAAAAAAAAAAAAACAGTTTTTAATGTGTATTTCGTGTGCCCAAAGTTTCTGTTATGATGCTCGTCTTAATTTCTAACCGTTTCCTTAAATCTCTCTCATTTTGCTATTTTTTCTTTTAGTAAGCCATTTTTATTAAAAGACTAACTATAAACTCGTTTACCAGAACTTCATATGAGCTTTTATTTATTAGTTTTTAACTTTTAAACTATTGACTTTTCTATACTCACTATTTTTTTTTGAATGTTTTTACTTCAAATAACTAAATACACTCTTTTATATTACTTTTAATCAATAAAATAATATAATTTTTTTTTATAAAATGTTCTCCTTAATATGAAATATTCATATGTTAAAAAAAAAAGGTACAATTTTAACCAAAATTTGAAGACAAACTTGAGTCTTGATAAGTATATAACTATCAAAACTCAAACTTTTCAATATAATTATACTGAAAGTATTTTTTTTATATACTTCATTAAAGTCATTGTAATAGGTAATTCATTGCATCGGAGTGATCTTTCCTATGTGTATCTCTCTCCCAGGTATCTCTCTTAAAGATACTTTAACTAGATACTACTAGTATCTTTAACAAAGATTCTTGTGTCTTATGCATTAACATGCATGACTAAAACTTTAATTTAGTCTCTTCCTCTGTATTTGAGTTCTAATTTTAAGTTTTAACCATTACATTACTCATAGGCATGCATGAACACATATATACAAGAGTTTTAATTATTAATTAGTACATATATTTCTTTTATTCTAATTTAGTTGAAGTTTCCACTTAATTGAACTTCATTTTCATGTTTTTCATGTTGTAGATAGTTTTGATATGATGACACTAAACAAGTACATATTTTATCACACAAGTACTTTATTGTGAAATCTCATAAAATAATTAATGTTCACGTTCCTGTCAATAGAAGGAGCAATAATTGGATGATACTATTAATAGTTCTTGCTAAGAAATATTTTCATTTTAACTTTAAAAAAAATTTGCGAATTTTAATTTTGAAAATTAATTTACTATTATAATTAAATAAAAAATAAATTTATTTATTTTTATTAAAAACACCACATTAGATATAAGATAACACCCGCAACCATTGACACACACATACATATATCTTTAATATATA